ATATTTCCTGAACAACACTTGAGACCACCCTCCGTTCCTCAATGCACATCCTCACACATACGCCTGTACACACGTGCACACCCACCCCCCACACACACATGCATGCACACAGGCACACATACACACACACATGCATACACAGGCACACGTGCACACACATGCACGCACACACATGCGTGCACACACCCACATACACACATGCATACATACAGTCACACACGCACACACTTGCAGCGCACGCATGCACGCACACACACATGATGCACGCATGCACACACGCGCACACCGTGCAGTTTTATTGTTAGTTCACTGCTTTGTATGTGGCTCTGGGTGTGGAGGAGCCAGGAGAGATGGTTGGAGATGTGACTCAGAGGTCTGGCTAGTAAGAAGCTACACCAAGGCAAGGGCAGAGAGGGGAGCAGGAGTCACACGAGAAACAGCCTTGCCCTGTGAACACACTGCACTGCTCCACAGTCACATTCTGCACATTACGATGTCACAATCAGTTCCTGTTAATGACCTCCCCCTCTTCTGGGCTGTGAATTCCGTAAGTGGGGGTGCCTCCGCCTTGTTGCTGAGTCCAGGACTAAGTAGAGGTAGGAATGCGAATGCGGGCCTACCAAAGGGGCTTTGAAGAAACAAAGTACTAAGGACCCAGAGTGATGCTTACCTGGGCGCCCGCCGTGCTGCCTGGTATGCGGGCACCCCACCCTGTTCAGCTGGCTCACCCCAAGCATCAGTGAACAAGATAATCCCATGGGGCTCAAGGGAAGTTCGCTGGGATTAGGACTCTGCGAGGTGCTTGTGGACTTGTCCACACAATCTCAGCAGCTGCTGCGAGTCCCTGCACAGGCCCAGTTAGGGGCGGCACCAAGGGAGAAGGAGCCAGCGTTCTGCTGCTGCCTCATCCTCTAGTTTCTATTGTCAAGGCCGATGCTCCCATTTTCCCAGGCCCAGTTCTCCCAAGTCGCTATTAGGAATTGATTCAGAATACACAGTGTTGCCAGCGGTGTTCAAGAGTCCCCATGCACTGCCACCACCCTCCTCTACAGAGAGGGTCACAGGGAAAGGGATGTCTGGCCTTTCAAGACTCAGGTATAGCAGCTAAAGGGATTGGTGGTGGTAGTTTGTTTTTGGGGGGTGTTTTTTTTATTTTGTTTTAGGGGGCTTGAGTGCCTTGGTTTGTGGCAGGGGACTTGAAGCCCAATACACAGCCACACCCCCATTCTGGAAGGAGACAAAGCTAAGCATCCTGATCAAGTGAGGCAGTAGCAGGAGGCAGGAAAGCAGGAAGCCAGGCCTGCTGCTGCTGCAGCTGAGGCTGCTGCTGAGGCCCCTGGACTGGTGACAGAGTACTTTCATTGTCACACCCGGCATGACACCCAGAACCCCATTCCACATCTGAAACGCTGCAGGCAATTGAAGAACTGGATGATGTGGGGCGATCGGGTTCTGGGAACAGAATGCTGACAATGGACTCCCCCTTGGAATGGTCAGTTTCTTCTGAGTGGAGGGAGAGGCGTGGGTTGCCTTGGAGTATTGTGTGCCGCCTGAAATGCCTCTGGAAATACTCTTGGTGTACTGTTTCCCTGCCTAACATCTTTGTCCCTTTCTCAGTATCCAATCCAATGAGGACTTTTAAAACCCAGAACACAAGTGCAGACTGTTCTGTGCCTCAAATCACAGCGCTGGTCCATCCTCCCAGTAATTGTTTCCTTGGGCCATCTGTAGCCAAAACATCCAGGTCCCTGGGAGGTCCCTTTACACCTTGTGCCCAGGAAGCAATGGGCAGGGATTGACCCCCAGACTGCTAACGGCAGGAGCGAGGCCCCAGCAAGGAAAGGGAGATGGTGTGCTGCCAAAGACCTTGGGAGCAGATCTTACAAGGAAATGTGGGAGAAAGTTAAGGAATCATCCTTCACCTTTGTTCAGGGGCCTAAGGCTAGCAGTCTCCTTGTCATTCAACCTTCCAGCCGCCTCCCTAGTCACTAGCTTTGTCTAGAAAATATGCTAACCAACTTTTATAAATGCTGTCTCTAATGTCCGGGCCTGAGTTCATAAAAGATGCAGGCACATGGTACTCCTGGGGCAGGCCGAATGGGCCGCTTTGGGAGCACGCGTGGACTATCAGGAGACCCAGATCCCGTCTCCAGATCTTCAGCTCCCAGGTCAGCTCCACGCTGTACCTGTAGGATGTGGGGTGAAGGAGGAACACAGTCCCTGAGATGGAGTAAAAAGGAAGTACTTGTCACTGCGAGTGGGAGGTAGGAAGTAAATGCTGGCCAGGGACTTCTGGGGAATGCAGTGGACCAGTCCCTCCTTCTCAAACAGCCCCTCCATCAGAGAGATGGGCCAAGGAAGAAACGGGAGGCTGAGGACCCTCTCTCTACATGGGGGATCCTCCAGCGACAGGGAGGGAGACAGGGCCAGGTTATCTGCCCAACAGGAATATTCCAGAGGCCAGGCAGCAGGGCGCAGTGAGTCCAAAGCCAAGGGTCCAAAGAATGAGCACGTTGGGTGACAAAGTTCCAGGCTGAGTCTAGACCTGCCTGATGTGTGGCCCCAGCTCCAGCTCTTGTCAGTGGCCGTGCTGAAGCACAGGGGGACAGGGGGACAGGGTGACGGTACCCCATCCATGCTACTCTGAAGTAGGAGATGACGGGGGGGGGGGGGGGAACGATATCCTCATTCTGTGCAGGAGACAATGAGATTCATCAGGACAGAGCACGGTGCATGAGACACCCAGCCTTCACATTGCTAGCTAGTTTGTTTCAATGCCGAGTGTGAAATCTCCCTCCGTCTGTAGAAGGAGCTGTGACGGGTAAGGCCATCTACAGAAGCAGGAGGGTGGCTAACGGGGAAGGCAGATGTTGACAGAGGGTGAAGCTCAGACCCCAGAGCATTTCATCTGGAGGTCTGTACCCGCGTAACCACCATGACCTCGCGGCCAGGCTCACACGCTGACACGCAGTCAGTGCTCTCAGCTCACAGGCATGGAAGGGTCTAACAGGACAGGTGGGGCCCTTGCGCGCCCCTGCTCTCAGCCTGCTGTCCCTCACCAGCTGTTTCTCTCCTCCGCTCCATGTCACTGTGCTGTGAAAACGTGGGACTCTAGAATCGACATCTACTGCAGAAATTCACACGAGTTCCTTAACTTACAGTCTGCTCACGCCCCAAATGTGTTGACACATTTCTCCGCCAGCTTGGTCTGAAGGTTGAGCCAGGCAATGGCGGAGCGCTAGGAGTGCTGAGCAGACAGAAGTTTTCTCCATCAGGGTTAGGCGCTGTGAGCAGTGAGAGTACCGCAAGTCAGCAACTGTGCGGCTCCAGGGTCTGGCTACCATGCTAAGCCTGCTCCGTGTCCGAGCGGAACTGCCCATCCGGCACCAGAAACAGATCAGAAACTAGCGATCACAGGACAACCTGCAGTAGTCCAGTAAAGGAAGTTCGTCGACTCCTGACGTGCTAGCTGAGAGAGTAGGCAAACTCAGCAGAGAGAAAGCCACATAGTAGCCCTTTAACTTGACCTGACCCACGATCAGGGGCAGAGCAAGGGTGCTTTGGAGCAGACAGCGTTAAACGTGATGTGGTTGGTCTGTGCATGGAGGGCTGTGGGACTCCAGTGACATCCACTTAGCAAAGCAGAGAGGAAAAAGACTGAAGAAGAAGGCCAGCAGAAGAAGCAAACCCAGGTCAACCAGGCCATGGGAAAGAGGAAACGTTCCCCAAACAGCGGAGAAGCAGGCCGGGGGCTAAGCCCTGTCGTGGCTTGCCCCACCCCACACTCCCCTTCAGTGACACAGAAGAGCAGGATTCACTCCGGTGAGCCCCTCAGACCTGACTTGTTCCCAGAAAGGCCACTGGGGCCCCATAAAAGCAGCTCCTGGGGAACCCACACAGTAGAGGGCCAGGAGAGACCTCCTTCTGAGTAGAGGCCTACAAAACCTTCCCTTCCGCCACGGACAGCAAAGTAGAGACGATCTAGACCCAAACATTTAAGAACTGTGACAACAGGAGAGGCACACCTGGGAATAAAGATAGTGACCAAGAAAGGCTATCTGTGTGGTTAGTCCTTCACCTGTGACAGGCTGTGGGCACTGGGGATGCACTTAAGAAACCCAACGTAGCCGGGCACAGTGACACACGCCTTGAATCCCAGCACTTGGGAGGCAGAGGCAAGCAGATCTCTGTGAGTCTGAGGCCAGCCAGGGATGCTGAGTAAGACCCTGTCTCAAAGAAACAAACAAACAAAAGAACCCCAAAGTAGCATGAAAGAACCTTTCCCATTCAACCACCTCCAGGTGTGAACTAACAATTAGGTCCCTTCACCTGTCTTTCATCCGCCCTGGAGCCCAGCCCACATCTGTAGGAGATCGTCAACCACAGAGCTCTCTACCAGATGCCAGCTCAAAAATGCCGCTGTGCTGAGGACAATGGCACTGGGACACTCCAACACCACAGATGTCAGTCAAACTGGGAAGCTAAGCCGGACACGAAGTGCCTCAGCTCAGAGCTTCTCCTTTGTCCTTTTATTTTGCCTGAATATGGACACAAGGCCTTGGATTCTTATCCCTCAACAGCACATTTGAAGGTCATGTCCCAGTTGCACGTTCAGATTCAGGGACGTTTCAAGAGAAAGCAACTGCGTTTTTTTTCCTCTGAGCCAGGGTGACAGATGGCAGACGTCCAAAGAGTGTGCAGACCTCAAGAAGAATTTCTTGGGAGGTGCAAACAAACAAATTCGCACAACGGCTGTCTTAGAAAAACACCCCATGCACTTCCTTCACCCAAGCTGCAAACGTCTTCCGCCCAAGAGTGCTGCTCTTCCACACCGCCAGAGTGTCCGCGGTTCTCAGCTCTCTCTTCCTAGACGTGCTCCCCCCCACCTCCATCTGCTTGTTCCGTGTTCCACTTCATTTCTTCCCCAGACTCATCCCATCCCCACATCTGAAGCCATTGTACCAAGAAACTGGTCCCCATGTCCCCAGCTGCTCAAGTACCTGTATCCTTGACGTGGTATCCGAGGAATTATTTCCAGTCAGTTGACTAGCAAAGCTGTCCCACACGACTGCAGAAGAAGACAGCCTGGAGCGTGGGTGATGAATGCTCCTCCAGGGGCCTATTTCTGTGGCTGGAGGCCGGAGGCCTTTGGGCGCACGGCAGTAACCCCAGGAAAGCACCTCAGGCGGCAGCCAACACTCCCAGGATGGGTTTTGCAACATCAGAGGGAAAGGGAGGCTCTCTCATCAAATAATAACCAGCAGGAGATAAGGCCTGCTAGGCTGAGCTTAACCGGCCAATCGCAAGCTTGAGAGCATGAGAGGAGGCAGGCCCAGCTCCTGGAGCCAGTTTTAGGGCTTGTTACAATTTAATGATGCTGCACTGCCGGGGGGGGGAGGACAGGGGGGTGTTGGGGTGTCTCGATTGGTGGGGATTTCCTAACCAGAGAGTGAAGCTCTGAGCTCAATAGCCCATTCTCTAAGTGGGGCAGCTGCCCTGAGCATCACAGGGGTCGCACGAAGCTCGAGGCTCCCAGCCTGGCTGTTGTCCACCTTGCCAGAGCTCTTTCTCACTGCCTCTTGGGGGCTGGGAAGGAGACTTGAGTGGAGCTGAGCAATGGTATGGGGTCAGCAGAGGGCAAGCATGTTTGACACTGGGTATGCAGCTCCCTGTTGGCGATGCTGATGAGGTCAGAGACACCTTGGGGATCTTAGCTCACCCCTTTGAGATGGCACCCACATACGATAATAGCCTTTTTATTTTTTTTACATTCCAATCCCAGTTCCCCCTCCCTTCTCTCCTCCCACTCCCTCCACTCCCCACCCCCTCCCCCCACCTGCTCCATGGAGAGGGTAAGGCCTCCCGTAGGAAGTCTTCTAAGTCTGCCCCATCATCTTGTTGAGGCAGGACCAAGGAACCTCTCCACCCCCACATCCCTGTGTCTAGGCTGGGCAAAGTATCTCTCAGTATAGACTGGGCTCCACTAAGTCAGTTTGTGCATTAGTGTTAGATCTTGAGCCCACTGCCAGTGGCCTCATATATTGTCCCAGTCACACCACTGTCACCTGTATTAAGGGAGTCTAGCTTGATGTCATGCAGATTCCCCATTTGTCCGACCTGACTCAGTGATCTCTCTCTAGCTCGGGTCAGCTGATTCCATGGGCTTCCCTGTCATGGTCTTGACTCCCTTGTTCACAGTACCACTCCTCCCTCACTTTGACTGGATGGTACCTTCCTGATGTCAGCTTTCCTGTTTGTAAGTGACGGGGAGTCTCCATCTGCCCAGCCATTGCAGACACGTTCTTTCCAAGGCAGCATTGATCTTTTAAGATAAAAGACTTATGGTAAAGAAGACGTACTCTGGAGGCTCAGCTGGCCCGGGGTTACATAAGGGCACTGCGTCGTCCGGCCAGCCCTGAGACCTGACTGCAGAAGCTAAATGCAGGGGAACTTCCCCCAACTCCAGAGACGTAAACCCTTTAACCATGTTGCCACGTCACAGCTGAACACTGAAAGAGGGTCACGCCGTCTTCTAGAGAGTTTTAAGGTGCCTCTTCTCGTCAGCACTCAGTTCCCATCCATCTCCCTCTTCCCCAACTCCCCCAGAAGAACCCCTGCCACCACACTCTACTTGTATTCTCTGTGGATTCTCCTGTCCCGAACACTTTTCCCGAAAGGCTGTCATAAATGTGTCACCTCCACGCATTGCTTCGTTCACTTAGCGTAATGCCTTCCGCTTCTACTGGGAGGAATATCCGCTCTATAAACATACTACAACCTGCTTGCCCGCTGATAAAGAAATTTTGCAACTATGAATAACGATCGAGGGATATTCACCCTCAAAGTCACAGGGGGACAAGATGGAGAAGCGGATGAGAGAAGCAGCCACCGAAGGGCTTTTCCCTCAGCAGAAGCGGGGTAACACAGCAGTGGTTACACGTTCATTTCCACACCCTCCCCACTCTGTCAACCATGGCAAGACAAAGGGACACTTTGCCATCTCAAGGGGTTGGCCGTGGGAAGCCGGCAAGTTTGAGTGATTTACAAAAGCTACCCATCCAGGAACTCAAACCAGAAGTTTTCCGTCCTTTCTACCCTGGTTCCTCACACATCAACGTCTCCTTGCTCTTGTCCAGAGTCAGCCTTGGCTTTCAGGATGCCTAGCTCGATGCGAGAAGAAACCAAGATGACTCTTCTAAAGTGAAGGAGGGAGCCTATCGTTGAGAACCATGACTAAAGGTTTTTACATAAGGCTAGCGGGGATGAAACGCCTTGTCTTTAAGGCTCAGAGCCAGCAGGCTCCTCCACAGTGCAGTGTCTTCCTCCCGGACGCCACTGACTCAGGTTGCCATCCTCCCCGAAACTGGGTTAAAGGTAGTACATCCCCTGATGCTTTGGTTGTTCAAGCAGGAGACACGGGAGCTCCGGGTAAGTGTGTAGATTAAGGTGAGACAGGGTGAGGGGGCCTCCCGCACAGCAGGGAGTACTGAAATAGATTCTATGACTGTGGTGGTCTGAAGAGGCAGGGAAAAGGCTCTGGAGTCAAGGAGCAGAAGAGAGCGCAGAGAAAAATCTGAGGAAGGTTACACTAGGAGGCCCCCAGCTTCCAGTTTCCCTATGGTCAAGAACGTTGTATCCCGTTATGCCAGCACCATTTGTTGAGGATGCTTTCTTTTTTCCCATTGTGTAGTTTTAGCTTCTTTGTCAAAGATCAGGTGTCCATAGGTGTGTGGGTCCATATCAGGGTGTTCAATCCGATTGCATTGGTCTACCTGTCTATTTTTGTGACAATACCAAGCGGTTTTCTTTGCTATAGCTCTATAGTAGAGCTTGAAGTCAGGGATGGCGATGCCTCCGGATGTTCCTTTATTGCACAGGGTTGTTTTGGCTATCCTGAGTCTTTTGTTTTTCCATATAAAGTTGAGAATTGTTCTTTCAAGGTGTGTGAAGAATTGTGCTTGGGTTTTAACTGGGATTGCATCTGTAGCTTGTTTTGATACGATTGCCATTTTTACTACGTTGATCCTACCTATCTGAGAGCATGGGAGATCTTTCCATTTTCTGGTGTCTTCTTTAATTTCTTTCTTTAATGACTCAAAGCTCTTGTCTTACAGGTCTTTCACCTGTTTGGTTAGAGCTACCCCAAGATATTTTATGTTGTTTGTGGCTGGATACAGAAAATGTGGTACTCAGCAGAAAAAAAAAACAATGGAATCTTGAAATTTGCAGGCAAATGGATAGAACTAGAAGAAACCATCCTGAGTGCTGTAACTCGGTCACAGAAAGACAAACATGGTATGTACTCACTCGTATATGGATTCTAGACATAGTGAAAAGGATTACCAGCCTACAATTCACACCTCCAGAGAACCTAGGAAACAAAGACCATAAGAGAGACATACATGGTCCCCCAGTGAAACAGAAAAGACAAGAGCCCCTGAACAAATGGGGAATATGGTAGGAGCGGGGAGGGAGGAGAAAGGAGGGGAGAAGAGGAGGGGGGAGGAGAACATGAGGGATCAGGAAGATTGAGTAGGGAGAGGAATAGAGGAGAGTAAGAAAAGAGACACATCAATTGAGGGAGCCACTATAGGTTTAAAGAGAAATCTGGCACTAGGGAATTGTACAGAGATCCAAAAGGATGAGCCCAACTAGGACCCTAAGCTGTAGGGAGAGATCTTACATACCCACAACTCTGACCACCTAACCCTACACTAAGCAGTGGTGGAGATGGTGCCTTAAATGCCCTTCCACTATAATGAGATTGATGACTACCTTAAATGCCATCCTAGAGCCTTCATCCAGTAGCTAATGGAAGCAGAAGCAGAGATCCACAACTAAGCACTGAGCCAAACTCCTGGAATCCAGTTTCAGAGGGGGAGGAGTGCCGAGCAAAGGGGTCAAGACCATGCTGGGAAAACCCACAGAAACAGCTGACCTGAGCAAGTGGGAACTTATGGACCCCCAGTCTGACAGCTGGGGAACCAACATAGGACCAATCCAAGCCCCCTGAATGTGGATGTCAGCTAGGAGGACTGAGCAGTCTATGGGGCCTCTGGCAGTGGAACCAGGATGTATCCCTAGTACAGGAATGGACTTCAGGAGCCCATTCCCCACGGAGGGATACTCTCTTAGCCTAGATACACAAGGAAAGGTCTAGGCCCTGCTGCAAATGACTTGACAGATTTTAATGATCCCTCATGGAAGGCCTTACCCTCCCTGGGGAATGGATGGGGGATGGGATGGGGGTGTCATTGGAGAGTATAGAAGGATGGGTGCGAGAGGGAACTGGGATTGATATGTAAAATAAAATTGTTTCTAATTTAAATTATTTATATTTTAATGTTATATAATGTTGTATTCCCAACCCTTGAGGTTATCTGATTAATAGCCTGATCAAATGTGCCAGATTGAACCATGTAGAAAAAAAATCAACCCGAGATAGCAAGTGTGGTAGTGGAGTCCTCCCAGATTCTCATCACCTGTCCAGTCCTAAAGTCCAGAGCCCCAGCAGAGCTCTGCCAGAGATCCCCAACAGTAGAAGGGGGACGATCTCTATGGGGAGGGAGACGAGGCTGAGTGAGCAGGGGAGAACAGGTAAAGGGCTGGGTGCAGGCCACTCCTGAAGCTGAGACTCGGGGCTTTTCATCTGAGGCTAAGGGTGACAGATGTCAGGTCCCTGTGGGTATCAAAGGGCTTGGACCACCCTGCAGTTCACAGATCCTGAACCCTGGATTATTGCATCACAGTCATGCCACTTTCTTTGATTTCCATTTATTTATTTAGGCCAGTGACTTGCAGCATCCAAGGGCATCTGGCTAGTCATTATCAGAAAGGAAATCAGTTGGTCCTGCTAGCTTCAGGCCCTGACTTTCTGCAATATCTGTGCAATCGCTCGGAAAATCAAATTTGGAACATGAGGCAATAGCAGGCATCAGGATTCAGAACAGGGCCAGCAAGGTCAGTAGGTTCGTCTTGGGGGTAGCTCTCAGGACTCACCCAAATCGATGCTTCTTAGTCATATACTCATCCATAAAAGCTCCGTGGAGGACTCAGGAATTTATGACCATTTCAGAGCATGAGAAAGCAGAACACAGAGGTCAGTTAACCTGCCTGAGCCCATCCCGTCAGTCCATGTGTGGAGGAGCTGAAGCTTGAACCAAAGTCTGTATGACTCAAATCCACGATATTCTCATGCCTCGTGATGTCA